CGGTGGAAAGGTATGCCTGCCAGAAGATTTCTTGGTTTGGTCCACCATGTGAGGGACTGAAGTACATGCAGAGGAGGAGTTACTCGCTTGTGTACCTGCCCTTTTTGATGGGAGTAGACTATAGCGATCCAGTGTTGCAGACATCAGAAGTGTATATGCGCGTGAGTAACCACGTAGGTGGTAGCGGCCGTATGTCCCATTAGTTGAAGTCATGTGAGAATAAGGACAGTAGGACTCAGTGTAACAGTGGTAATGAGATCCTGGATTGCTTGAAATCGTTGTTCTGGTAAGTATGCTCTGTCAGAGAGTCCAGTCAAGCACCTATGAATTCTATATTTTGAGTAGGTGTCAGAGTCGACTTCTGTGTATTGAGGAGCAGGTCTAAAAGCTCAAATACTTGTTTCGTTGTAGAAATCATACAACGTGTTTCTTTTTCCGATGTGCCTTTGATGAGGCAGTCGTCTAGGTAAGGAAATATAACGTGGTGTTTGCGTGGATATGCTGCTACCACAGCCAAAGTCTTCGAGAATACCCTTGGGGCCGAGGATAGACCGAATGGAAGTACTCAGTATTGGTAATGATCTCATCCTATCATAAACCAGAGGAAGTGTCTGTGTACTGGGTGAATTGTTATATGGAAGTACACATCCTGCAGGTCGAGGACCACGAACCAGTCTCCTTTGTCTAATGCTGTAATTATAGTCACTAGGGGTAGCCATTTTGAACCTTTGCTTGAGGAGGTAACGATTCAGTCTGCGCAGGTCCAGGATAGGCCTCCATCCTCCTGATTTCTTTGGGGGTAAGGCTATAATGTGAGTAGAATCCTCTGCCTCTGAATTCCTTGGGGATGATCTCTATTGCTCCAAGGTCAAGGAGACTTTTTTTAGAGTAAATATTTTGGCTCAGACAATATTTTAAAATTGAGTTTATTTAGTGTAATTCACTAAAGGATGAGAATTTGTGTGTATTAGAACTGGGGCCCAAAGTTTCTGGGAAACTGCCCACCACCAGTACTTGTAATATTTGCCAAAAGTCTGAATAAGCTGAACCCTGATGATTATATTTATTTCATTGCAGTCTGAAATATTAATAATGGACTTTTCATTATAACATCTGTACCAAGATATTGCGGAGCATCATGCTAGAACAGAGGGTCATAGTCTCCTATGGCTTACATTAAGTACTGAAATCAATCAAGCTCTGCCAATTTCCACTGATTAAGAATCCAGCCCTAACTCAGTTGTCAGGTGTTACATTATTTTATTAGTTAGTTTTCACAGTATCTAACTTATATTCTATATGCATTGAACAATGTCCCATACAATTAATTGTGTTTATTATTAATCACCCAATAGTACAGATACAGGGTAAAGGTAAAGAGAAAAGTAAAGAATTAAGTTATAAGAAATTAGCAATGTCATTTCAATAGTTTAGATTTCTGGTTGCGTTGGGTCCTTTTTATAGAATAATGATGATGATAATGATTTTTTTCCTCCTGATTAACTATGATTCCCAATATAAAATACACATGAATGTAGAGTAAGCAGTTATAATTTCTCAAATATATTACTATATCCTGAAGAATATTGTGGGGACCAGTATAAATAAATGTTTCTAATTCAGCCCTTGATTGAAGGTTATAGATACACAGAGTGAAGGGCAGTTGCCAGCATCAGTAAAAAATATAAAGGGCTTCTGGACATGCCAAAACAGATTTCCAGTTTTAACATTAAATTTGTCCACCAGCATTATCAGTCAGGAACAATTTTACTAAAAAAGGACAGAAACGGTACTGCTTACAAATATTGTTTAGTTCATATTTTGAGCATTAGTTTATAAACTTACCTTTTACTGAAGAAAAATGTTGCATTAGCACATTATGTTTTGAACAGCCATTTGTGGGGTTTTTTCCCCTCTAGAATTGTCAAATAAAATCTGAGAGAGCCACGCGTTTGAAGAGGTATTGCATGTGACTCCCTTTTGCAAGACACTACTCCGGCCTGGATAACAGCTGTGTGAGGCCATTATGTGGCTGTGAGAGGCAGACACAGAGACCAAGATCTTTAAACATGGTAGCTAACTTGAGTAGCAGCTTTCTGCACCCTACATCCCTAACTCACTCCCACCCTGGCCCAGCCCTGAAATTGCTCCACCACCCAGTGCCCTCCTACACCTCACACCCCAACCCTGAGTCCACTCCCATGCTCCAAACTCCTTGGCCACAGTCTGGAGCCCTCTCCAGTACTTCAAATGCCCCAGAGCCATCCCAGAGCCCACAACCCCCAGTTGAAGCCCCCACCCCTCTCCTGCCTCAAGCTGCAGCCCCCTCCCACACTGAACCTCTCTGTTTTGGCCTCACTCCTGAGCATGGGGGCCCCACAATCTAATAGCCCTGAGTACCAGAAGAGTTAATCCAGCCCTGCTGTTCATTACCACCCACAGTTCCTCAAAACATTACTGCTTTCCAAGTATCTCAAGCCAACTAAATATAAATATCTGGTTTTCATTATATCTCAGTAGTGTAAGCTTGCATTTTTGTACCTGAATCTCACTTTGTTCTTTCCTAGTCATGTTTCTAACTTAGCATGATCCTTTTGTTTTATATCTGTACACAGAGATAACTTTGCACCTATAAGGTGGGTGCAAAACTGGCTGGATATCCATTCTCAGGAAGCAGTTATTAATGGTTCACAGTCATGCTCGAAAGGCATAAAAAGTGGGGTTCTGCAGGGGTATGTTTTGGGATGAGCCCTGTTCAATATCTTCATCAATGATTTAGATATTGGCATAAAGAGTAAATGATACAAAGCTGGGAGAGGTTGCAAGCGCTTTGGAGGATATGGTCATAATTCAAAATTATCTGGACAAACTGGAGAAATGGCCTAAGGTAAATAGGATGAAGTTTAATAAGGACAAATGCAAAGTACTCTACTTAGGAAGGAACAATCAGTTTCACACATACAGAATGGGAAGTGGCTGTCTAGAAAGGAATACTATAGAAAAGGATCTAGGAGTCATAGCGGACCACAAGCTAAATATGAGTCAACAGTGTGACACTTGCAAAAAAAAGCAAACATGATTCTGGGACGCATTAAGAGGGGGGTTGCGAGTAAGACACAAGAAGTCATTCTTCTGCTCTACTCTGTGCTGATTAAGCCTCAAGTGGAGTATTGTGTCCAGTTCTGGGCACCACATTTCAAGAAAGATGTGGAGAAGTTGGAGAAGGTCCAGAGAAGAACAACAAAAAGATTAAAGGCCTAGAAGACATGATCCATGAGGGAAGACTGGAAGAATTGGGTTTGTTTAGTTTATAAAAAAGAAGACTGGGAAGGGACATAGCAGTTTTCAAGTATCTAAAAGGATGTTACAAGGAGGAGGGAGAAAAATTGTTCTCCTTGGGCTCTAGTGATAGGACAAGAAGCAATGGGCTTAAATTGCAGCAAAAGAGGTTTAGGTTGGACATGAGGAAAAACTTCCAACTGTCTGGATAGTTAAACACTGGAATCAATTGCCTAGAGAGGTTGTGGAATCTCCATCACTGGAGATATTTAAGAGCAGGTCGGATAGACAACTATCAAGGATGATCTATTCTAGATGGTGCTTGGTACTACCATGAGGACTTGATAATCTCTCAAGGTCCCTTTCAGTTCTAGTATTCTATATCTATTTCAACCTTTCTCTCCCCACATTTAACCTGCAGATTTAATTAGCATTCTATTTCTCTGTTCCGAACTATTAAAGTTGTTTGAAATTTCACAGCAGAACTACACATACTACACTAGAAACATTACACCTGGCCCTGGCAGACAAATGCAGAAAAATTTGAAATTTCACAGAGATGCACTTTTGATAGCAAATACAGGCACCACTACTGTATTCTTCAAGGAGTGAGTGGATAAAAATTGCTTCCAGGTAGAACTGAATTCTGTTCAGACGTGAACGTATTTTAATAGTTTAAGTGCTAAATTCATTTCTAAGTACCATAATTTATTACAATTTCCACAGTTGCTCTATTTTCAAAAAAGGGAGATGTTGAATTTGCTGATACACTTTATATTTTAACTCTCAGAAATCCAACTAATATTTGAAACTTCTATGCTAATGGTATACTAGCACAATATCCCTTTATGGCTGCCTAGTTTACCTGTAGTTCTCCATTTTTTTCCCCTTTAAAGAGCAATCCTTTCGTAAACCCTGGCTATGTTTACAATACAGAGTTTTTTTCTGAAGAATGGCCGTTTTTCAAAAAAAAACCTTGGAGTGATCACACCTCAAACACATCTTGGGGGGAAGAAGGGGGGAAAAAAAATCGAGAGAACAGAGGGATTTTTCCGGCATAGGTATTCCTCATTCTACGAGGAAGAACGCCTTTTTGCGAAATAGCTCTGTCGCAAAAAGTTGTGTGGACTGGCAAGAGGGGGTTTTTGCAAAAAAAAAAAAAAAAAAGAACAGGTGCCCTGGTGACCATTCTGTGCATAGCAATCAGAGCTTACTTTTGAGAAGGTGTCCAGGCAGTCTGGACTTTCTTTTGCAAAAGTGCATCGCTTTTTCGGTGTACTTTTGCAGTGTGGACACGCTCTTGAGCAAGACGTTTTTGTGGAAGATCTCTTCTGATAAAAGCTTCTTCTGCAAGAAGCCTGCAGTCTAGACATAGCCCCTGTGTTCCCAGCTATTCACTACTCCCATAATCTTTTCTTCCCCATCTCACACAACCTACTATGCCACCATGCTTTATTATCAGCACATAAAGCCAACATGGAAAAGATTTTCAGAATTTAGAACATACACCACTTTTGAAAACATCTTTTTGTAATACAAGTCTACACATTGCTACCCGTTTTTAATAGAGGCAAATTTCTTCCTAATAATCTTGAATAATTTTTGTATGACATTCAGAGTTCCAGATTATTCACACAATATTTAGTACAATTCTTTCAACACAGGACATGAAAATAGCACAACTAACAATAATTTTGACACGTTAATACACACTTTGCTCATATGGGAAAACAATTATTTATTGCTAAGAGATTTCAGGCAAACATGTTTTAGAAGTCCAGTTAATTATGATTTTATTTACACAAAAAGACAGTTTAATGTTTTCAAGCAACATATGCATTTGGATCTAAAATAATCATGACAAACAGCAGAAGTAGTTAAGGAATGCCACACTAATCATACACTTTAGTGGATATAAAATCCACAACATTATAGATTACATAAAGTAAAGAATATCTTAAATACTTTTCCAAAATACTGTAGCAGCCAAGACAGAGATATGGCTTAGAAGGACACCGGAATGTAATTTAGAAAACAAACAAACTATTCATGTCCTTTAAAAATCACTGTGTAAGACAAAAGCAACATTTAACTTCACATACTGATTTTACACAGAATTGCTATGCAATACCTTTACTTTTTATCCAAATAACAAAAGTTATAAATTTGTTTGGTAAACCTCTATTACATTTTCCCTTGATTTTACCTGTAGTAGCCATTTTATTTAAAAGAGGGCAGGTTTGGCACTTTTATACTGATGTCACCAATATTAATATTTCTTGGGATCTCTGGAAGATTCATATTCTTTACAGCTGACACAGCCCGGGCTGGGGCTCCTGCTAAACCAGCCTGTATACAGAAGTAAAGGAAAAGATACAATACAGGTGAAGTCTATTACAACAAGTGGTCTAGGCAGACAACACAAACATCTAAATTGTTCCCACAGTTACAAGATTAGAAAGACCGGATGGTAGTTTGGGTTGGGATGAAATGGGTTATTTGAAAGTACTGAATTAGAAAGAGAAAACAGTTCACACAAATTCTAAAATATTATGGAAACATGCTATATCAATTTGATGAAAAGTATATAGGAGTAGGGAAGGACCAGAAGAAACTAAGCTAAGTTGTAAAAACACCACACTGAGATATTGCTGAAGCTAACATACTGCCCCTTAATTTGTATTGATCCTACATATAGCCACTTACATGACACACAACCTCAAATCATTCATCTGAGACATCAGCAATGCCTAAGAATACTGGGACATTAACAGTCACAGCTTAATTTTAATGGCTTGCATCAGGTCAAACATTAAGCATTTCTATTTTGTACTATTTTCCTCTGGTCTAGTCTTTAATCAGTCAAAGTCACACATTTATTTTACAAGTAAAGGCCATTTTAAAACTGATTTTAATCTAGCACAGCCAATTAGACAATGTTCCTGCAATGCCTACTCACCAACGGCTAAATCCCCAACTGCTGTAAAATGAAATAGCTCTGCAAATATCTATGCCATTACTCCAATTTACAGCAAACTAATGATCTGACTCAAAGTTTGTAAGAGGAGCAGAAGCCCACACAACTCTGTTTTAAATGCATTTGCATTATTGCTTGTTTTCTAAATATCATTTAGGATCAAAGACCCATCTTTTTAGGACTGCACTGCCATCAACAACAACAAAAAATATGTTTCAGTACTACAACTGCATAAAGTCACAGTAATTGCATGTATAAATTACACACAACATTCTGAAATGTTGGGCTTAACATTTTCTGTAGAGTGCAAAACAACGCATTAATCATTTTAATTTCTTTTGCCAACTTACCAAAGATGTTGATTTCCCCCCTTTAATATTTAAGGTGGGGGGAGGGCGGAGAGAAATTCTCATGAGTTAAGTCTTTCTATACCAAGTATTACTACTCTGCAGATTTTTTTGTCACACCAAATCACAAGCTGTATCCCCTGACAACAAGGATTTGTAGCAGAAATGCTGACTAAATAAATTTCCAACTCAGAGCCTCTGGGATAGAGAGAACCTCCTCCGTTACTAGTTTCTAACTACAGATATTCCTAAATGAAAAGCATAAAAAAATATTTAAAGATATAAACTAGAATTAAATCTCTAGTGTATTTACTGGTGTAGAAAAAAATTAAAACATTTTAAAAACTGAAACTGTTCTCCCTAGTAACCTAACTCATTGAGCAGGTACGGTCAGATGTAGAACTTGAAAAAAAGACTGTCTTGCTGAAACACACATAGAATTATCTATGGTCAATATTTCAGGTTAACACAGAAAAGAGACCCAAAAGTAGCTAGAGAGTTAGAAAGAATACTGACTACTCTCACTCATATTACAAAAGTCTACAAAATGGTTTTAAAGGCAAAAGGTATTTGGGAAAATACAGATTTAAATGTAATATTCCTACATTAAAAACTTACCTACTGAGGTTTAACATTGTACTTTATACATAAGCAATTTTTTAGAAGTTTACATAAGAAATTCTCAAAACTAATAATTACTATAGACCCTACAATATTTATACTTGGGCGACTTGAAGTAATGTGACTAACATAAGCAAAGAGCAAGAAAAAAAATAAAGAGAGAGTTCAAACAAACAGAAGATGAAGCCTTCAGAAATGGAAGATCTCTTTTGTCTTTTTGTAAAGTGGGTAAGGACCCAGAAATCTGAGTAGGCAATATGACAAAAAACAATGGCAGTCTTCTGGAGACATCTGACTCATACTTGCTCATAATATCATCTTCTGCAATTAAATACTGCTCAAATTCTATTCTCTACATGTAATTCATGTTTCTGAAAGAAAGTTTATATAGGTTGAACCTCTGAAATCTGAGACTCTCTGGTTCGGCAACATGCGTGGTCCAGCAGGATCACAGATGTTGCTGTATCAGAGAGCCCTGGCACCTGGGAGTGCAAGCTCTGACTCCAGGGAGCCTGGCTGGGCAGGGTAGCAGTGGGACTAGTGACCCCCATCCACAGGTAGCCCTGGCTGGGTGGGGCAACAACACAACCAGTGAGCCCCATCCCCGGGAAGCCCCAGCAGGGAGGGACAGCAGCGGGGCACCCAGCAGCAAAAGCAGGACAGCTGGCAATCTCCATCTCCAGAGATCCTCAGCAGAGTGCTGTAGAAGTGGAGCAGCCAGCCAGTGCTGTTCCTGGGGATCCTTGGCAGAGCACAGCAGAAGCGGGGTAGCCAGCAAGCCCCGTCCCTGGGAATTCCCAGTCGGGAGAGGGAGAAGCAGGGCTGCTACACTTGGGGAGTTCCATTCCCAGGGAGCCCCCGTGGGTCGGAGCCCAAGTCCAAGCCCTTCAGGCTGGAGCCCAGAGCCCCAGCCACAGGGAGGGGGAGCGTCCTGGGAGGCTGGTGGCAGGGACCTCCCCATATCTGGCAAATTCTCTCCTTCAGGATGGGTCAGGTCCTGAGGGTGCCGGACAAGGGAGGTCCAAACCTGTAGTATTTAAAGTAATTAGGGTAAGGTGCACATGATATCGGATTGCAGAGGTCACAAAATGTCCACAGATATTGTAACAATTTATTAGATATTGCTAAACAATGCCCAAATTTCCAGACAGGCTACAAAGTGGAACAATATCTTTTTCTACTGCTCTTTTACAAGGAATAGAGTAGATCTAAGGTTTCCCCCAACCCTACACTATTTTGTTTTTATATAAAAGAGCCAGAGAAATATAAGATAAAATCCTCACTACTCCAGAATTTTTAATGTCAAATGGAAGGCTTAGTGAGGTGCAAATGGACTCTGAAAGCTTCAGATCCAGCCAGAGGAGGATCAAGGCTAAGACCAACAACTGAGTCTGTCTTCTGAGAACCCCCTCACAAACTTTGGCTCTAGAGGCATGCAGTGGTTGAGAAAGGCATATCAGAATTGTCATGGCAATGCTAGAAATTCCAGGCAGTGCTGTAGCACATAGGCACCAGGCCATATTGCTGTAACTTAAAATGGTATCCTACACCTACCATGGTAATCTAAACTGTGCTAAGGAGCAGGTGAGTACCCCAGAACTGTGAAGGCACAAAGCAGACTTGAAGCTACTTCATCGGCTCAGGCACAGTATAGAATCTCACTTAAAAAGAATACCAGAAGTGCTGGGTCCTGATTTCCCTCTTTTAGCTGAAAGCCTGCCACCACTATCTCAACTCCCTGAGAGAGGAACTCAGGGGGTTGCACTAATAATATAAAAACTCATAAGTAAAAATGGTAAACAAACAAACAAAACCCACAGACATTTGAGGCTCAGTTAAACATTATAAAGGAGCTCCGCTAAGCACAGCACTTTTTTGTAGTTTACTTTAAAAAAAAACAAAAACAATATAATATAATGAGAAACTGATTTTAAACACTTTGGATACGGTCTTGAAGAATTTTTATTGCATATACAAGGAACTGTTCAGAAAGATTTTACAGCATACCAAAATAATGTGAATTTCCTCCTCTAATTTGATTTTGCTCACTCTTAAGTACAATATTCAGTCACGGGAGAGAGAAAATCATTTGAGAAATTCCAAGAAATGGACAATGTAAACTGTTTTCCATACAGAAGATGCAAATACTATTAAAGCAGTAACAAAAGCAATGAATTATACAATTCAAAACTTATGGGAAACGAGCAAAATATTATAAATAATGTAGACAGACAGACATGGGTAGCAATTTAAAACAAAGATGTCATTGTAGGTGACTAGGATGGAGGTCCCGTACCCTAATTTAATGTAGATTAGGATTCGGGCAGAAACTTACCCTAAAGTACTGAAGGATTTATTTTGAATGGTCAAATAAAAATTTGAACATAACTGGTCATTTTTACATACCTGTAGCTATCCTCTTTATACAGATTTACAGTTCCTGACTCTCACCCCAAGAAAATGAAGACACAATTGAGATTTAAAATGCCATGATTGACACCCACAAATAATTTTACAAAATTAAAGCACACTTTTGACTAAATTTATCTGTGTCAATTATGTGTTAGGTTCAAAGAATAACCTTGGTAGAAGGACTATGACATTTCAGTTTGCTCCTTTTTTGCCCACAAGTGAGAGAGCTTCCAGAGTGAAAAAAATAAGACTTCATCACCATACACAGGAGCGCAGACATTCTCAAGCCATCTCAGCCTTTTCTCCTAGAGTCTTCCTCTCTCATATATGGTTTTGTGATGACATACATAGCATTTACATACTGCAATGCCCCTTTAGCACCACCAGTCTCACAATTTTATAAGCACAAGACAAAGTCATACAGTACTTCTAAGACACACGGAACAGATTTTTGATGTCTAATAAAAATATCTAAATAAAGGTATTACAGTAACAAAAATGTGATTCACAGTAAAAGTACTTCTCTTTTAGTGTTTGTATTCAGTTATTACATACTGAATCCATCAGCAGACTTATGTTTAGTATATCAAGTAGTAAACGGATGATTAGTCCTGCTATCTTTCTGTAACTCCTGCTGCCAAGGGTAAATTAAATTTATAAAAGAAAATAGGAATTACAATAAATACTTCAGATTCAACTTGTTCATAAAATGTTTGCTGCAGGTCCTAACAAGAAAGTAGTTACTGTAATATTGTACGGTATAGCTTTCAACTACTTTTACTATTCAATACTTTTGCAGAAAAGCTATGCTGGTGAAGGACAAATTATAACACTTTAAAAAACTAAGTAGCAAGCCTTTATCATGCAGTGAATCATGAAGGTTCATAGCAAGCAAAATGACCTAAGCAAGTGAAAATGAAATTTTTCAAGCATGTTCATGAAGTTTTAGAAGTACAGTATGAACTTGCATACAGCTATTATTACAGTGAACC